TTTTCATGTTGTATGTTGCATTTGGTGATCATTAGTATTTGCTTATATTAGGAGCGTGTTTGTAATTATACTCATATTAGCATTTCAAATATTTGGTGCAAAAACTTATAATTTTGTAGGGATACATAAAGCAATAATTTCCCTTTGGTTGAGATCAAGTAACATGGGTTATATGATGACCGTTTGGTGACGTTAGTTCATAGACTGACAAAAGTGGTTAATTGTCAGTCAGTCAGCTTCCAGGAGTCAAACTGAACTTCTTTTTTTTTTCAGTACAGGCTGAGGCTAAATCTGCCTCTCCTTGAGGAGCTGCCAAAATGTCAGTTCACAAGCCCATAGTTCTATTTTCCTTTGGGAATATATCTTCACCAGATATAGAAAATGTCTCCAGCTCACATTCTCACTATGTTGAGAAAAATCCATGACTCACTATTTCCTGTATGAGGACTATGTCCTCACTAATGATATAGAAGATAAATCTGGTCCACTTGACTCTCCATTGAGAATCTTAACTATGGCTTCTCCAGGAACACACAAGAATCTTCTGGCAGTTCAAATTCCTATTGAGAATTATTACAAGTCAGACTCTCTTTTTGTTCCATTTTTGCAATGTTTGTATGGTATACATGTCATAGTTTCTCTATGTGGGACATGTGTAACTATGTGTATATAATTTTGTGTATGACTTAGCGGTATAAAACTCTCTCTGAGAACAAGGCATGTTTGCCATTCCTTTTCTTTTTGCTATTCCTTTCTGTCTGTGAAATAAGTTGTTATTTTATCATGGATATAATAATACTCATAACAGGGGGAATGGAAACTGTAAAATATTTCTTGCTTATGAAATTTGTTCAGCATTTCTTTTTGGCAGTGAAAAAGATCAAAGAAAGAACCTAGTTAAAATTTCATTGAGTAAATGTATTTTTTGCAAAGTTTAGGATTCCATCTAGTTACTGAAGTTTTTAGTGCAAATTTGTAAAATTTTGGATAGAATGATAAACATAAAATTAAGGTTTCAGTCCTTTCACTTCTTCTTCTCCTATGTGTCATGTCCCTTCATGACATGGGTGATCATGGTTCTCTACATCTCCCTGATCCTTGTAGCTCTTACTCTACCAAAAGTATTTTGTGGGTGGCATAGCAACATGTAGTTCTTGCTGATATTTATAGTCTACATTTACACCTAGCTACTTGGTAAGTATCCATAGTTTTTCTTTTACTATTGTTCACCAAATATAAGGCTCAAGAGCCTAATCAATGGAGAGGGTTACTGAATTAGGTTGTTGTAAGGATGTAAGAAGTGTAGATTATGAGGATATGTAGGATAGATAATGGTTGACTCTAGATTTGAAGTGCATTTCTAGTGATTGAGAAAGCATTCTCTTGGGAGTCTGTTCCAAAAATAATGGTTCTCATGAAGAAGCTATCTGAATGGAATTTCCTTCTTACCAATGGAATATAAATGGAATGAAGATTATTTGCCCCTGTGAACCTTGCATGGCAGTCCTAAGCTCTAAACGTCTGAACTGATTATCACATGTAACTCGAAAAAAAAAATAATGACATAATCAAAATGTTAACATTTGACACTACTTCAAATAAAAAGTTAGGAAGGAAACCTCCTAAATACTGGAAAGTGCAATAACAGCTATTTTACTTGAAAAACTTGTTTTTCTGAAAAATTGTTTTAAGAGACAAATTTTATAAATTTCAACCAAAAGTAGTAATGGCTGCTCAGTCAATGAATACTAAATGTTTTTTGTAGGGAAACAGTTAATATTATCATACCGATTACTTGTTGTTGTCTTGGATGAACTTGAGTCTCAATAGACATTCAAAGCAAGGAGCATCATTGAGAGTACAACTGCTCATCATCACAGGAGAAAATTTAGTATCTGCTCAGTGACTATGAAATATTACCTTGGTTTTGAAGGTATTCCATGTTACAAGCCAGTTTTTCTCCATTGAGTTGTTAGAGCTTAAGTAAGAGGAGAGATCTGCTGCTAAGCTCTAGATTTTTGGAGATGCATCTATATACTGTGGTATCATCTGCATAGATATTTGTTAATGATCTGAGAATTTTCTCACAGATGAAGAGAAGACATGAAGAAACCTGATTCAACAGAAGGATGTTCAGAATACCATGAATGGAACCCTCAAACAATGAGGAAGTTTTAAGGGAAATAGAAACAAAAAGGACATTTGTATTGTGAATCAGAAAGAGACAGCTGAAATTTCTGAGACACATAATGAGCAAAGAGGGTTTGAAGAATTTGAAACTCACAGGATATATTGAGGAGCAGAGGAAAACCATGAATAACCTAATCTAATGAACTTGTGTAAATTGATAGAAGAACAGAGACTTGGAAGAATAGTAGGGGCAAAACATTGCTAACAGCTAAAAAGGATAGGAAATTGTGGAGGACCATGATCGACCACGTCCTAAAGAGACATAGTACTTAAAAAAAGTAATTTAGAATTAAACAATATTTATGTACACATTCATGCTGGCAACATCATTATTATAAGTTGTTTTTGTTTTTATGTATATTTTCAATACTGTCTCAATAAAGTGGCATGTACAACATATTGATTATTGGGGTCGTTTTTCTGTTCATTGATTTTTAAAAATGGTTTATTTTCTACTTTTTAAGTTCATTGATTTTAATATGGTTTTCTGGTGTGGATATATCAGCCAAGTGAAAAACAGATGTTGGATAAGTGATTATAATCGTCTTTTTATCAAATTTATCAGTAAATCCTTTTATCGTGTGGCAGTTTTTGTTTCTTTTGTCAGTTTCTAATATTCAAGGTTGTTTGAAGAGTGAAAATTCCAGCACTATTAATACACAGTGTCTAAATAGTTGTTTGGTTCATCTATCATATTATACCAATGAAGGAATCAACTTTTGTGATTACATATATTGTTATTATTTATAATACTTGTGGAATGGGTGAACTGAGTTTAAATTCCCACCTAGTCTGTTGCATTCACTTTCACACTAATGTCCTTGGGAAAGGTAAGAATCCATCTCTTCTCCCCCAGCTATGGATTAAATAGCAGGGTAAACTTGGCATAGACCAACTTCCTCTGTGATTACTTAGGCCTATGAAAAAAAAACCTTTGGCCTGTTGGATGCTGGGTAAATTCTTAGATTTATTTTTGGAAAAATAATAACATCTTCAATACTAGGAAATGCTGTATTTATAGAAAATGACCAGCTCAGAAGTGTGTCTAATTTGGTTGTTTTCTGATTGGCTAATTGAATTCTATTCTCTCATTGGTTAGAAAAGATGAATGATAACATTTAAATTTTCTTGTGATGTTATTTATATTTTGTATATATCTGTGCTTGGAGTAAATAGAGTGCAAAACTTATTTTTCTTTTTATCACTTTTCTCCTCAGCAGATCATGGAACCAATTGAGGAGACAAGAAAATAAAATTTACTAGATGACTCCTAACGACTATGACATACAACATCTGCTTTGGAAAGGCTGAAGAACATATATTGTTCTTGATACTAATGATCATATAACTTTTCTATGAGTACATAAATTTTACTTGAAGGCTATTTACTATTTATGTATTGCAAACTTTACTCTCATAGTCACAGAATTGATAATATTTTTAGGTATTCATAGTACTGCTGTGGCATTACCTGCTACAACTTATTGTCAGAGTGCAAATTGTATAAATAAAGCAATATAGTTGAATAGTGAATAAATTTTAAAGTCACATTTTGAGGACAGCCTCTTTCTGGAAGGAGAGGTTGAAACAAGCTGATTTTGAATAAATGTAAGAAGGGAGATGCAGGTTGTTCATGAGTCACATATAGATAAGTTACAGTTCATATAAACAGAAGTTATTTGCTACTTTGAGCAACTAGAGAACAATGATACAATATACATCAGTTGACCAACCAAGATCATACTGATATAATGTAAGTGGTTTCTCTGGCTAGTATTTTCATCTATTTTTTTTTTCATCTCTGTTGGTTCCAGTTGCAAACAACAGATTAAATGATCTGATACAAAATAGTATTAAAAAATGTTTAAAACAAAGGTAAGAGAATTTGTTGTACACAGAAGGGAATTACAGTTTCCAAATGTTCAAAACTGGATGAAGAGAGTTTGAAATACTTAACTTTCTTGAATTGTTAATAGAAAGTTCTTTAAAGTACTGTGTGCTTGGTTAAAAGGCTGATAATATCATTGGCAAGTAATTTGACACTGGCAGAAACAGAAATGAAACACTTCACATGACTTCAAACACTCTTCTCTTGTTAATTTAATTTTTCTCCTCATTTTATATCAAAAGGAATTTTGCATAGGCTTTCTTTTCAGCTAATTTCTGTGAAGGCAAGCCTTTCATTAGTCCAAAACAATTTCACATAGGCTTGCAAATCTATTTCCGTTTTCTTCTCAGCTTCCTAGTTAATCTCTGTGAAGGCAAGGTTTTCATTGGTCCAGAGAATATTTCATATAGGCTCATGAATTCCTTTCTGTCTTTTCCCTCAGTCCTCTAAACTTGAAAGGAGTGGGTAAAGGGGGTTGTATTATTATACACTCACTACAGTATCACCTTAAGTGAAAGAAGAAGAGGTGGATAGAGGAAAAATGGGCTGATAATATCCCTGAGTAGAAGATTATTCAGAGACTCAGACATTGGCACACAAATGAGACATATTGAAGCAGCTTGTCAGGTACTCAGTTGCACAGTAACCCTATGACCACACCTGTTCATAAGACTGATGATGATAATTATTTTAGATTAGTGTCTTGACTAGTCATAGGTTTTCAGAATTGAATTAGTTATGGTATCATCCATTAGATAGGTCTAGACCTATTACAAAAATTCTGACCTCTGTGACTTAGTACTATAAGTTCAGAACATCTAAAAAATCTTAGTGACTTACTAAATAAAATCAGATATAAACATGACAAACATGGTTATGGCTAGTTAGATATTAAATCTCTAGATCATAATATTTCCAGGCTTATGGCCATATCACATTGAAACATTGGTTCTCATCTGATCAGCAAAGTTCAGCAATGCTGAGCCTGGTCAGTACCTAGATGTGTGACCATTTGTAAATACCAGGTGCTATAAGGTTGAAATGTGTGGGTGGGGTTATGGTTGAGAATGAGAAATTGGAGAGCAGAGTTGGAATTCCAGTCAGGTTGTAACATACAGTTATGTGCAAATACCTTCAAGGAAAGGTATGAATCCACCTCTTCTCCCTCCAGCTATGGGTTAAATAGTAGGACTTGTATCTGAAAATCATTATCTCCCCAAAATTGTTAATATAATATTCAATCACAAAAAAAGAAGTATTATTCTTGCAAACAATAAAATGTTTGGGCTCTAAATAATCTACAAAAGGTTGATAACATGTAAAAAAACCAAAACCTAATATTTTTATCAGTAAGTAACTTTATTTATTAGAAAAACCATCTGAAAAATGAATACCTACTGCGATATCATTATCGGTATATGTAGATGATCAGTAATTATCACACAATTTGGTGGTTACATTTTTTAGTCTGTGTTGAAACTTGGATAAGCATGGAATAATAATAATACAACACAAAATGTACGTAAACAAAATGTATTGAAACAAGGAAAAGGTACACAATATTTACAGTTAGTTTTGGTATATTCTTGGGAAGACTGTTCCTGCAGAATGGGTTGACTAAACCGCAGTCGGGCAGAGTCTCTCGATTCGATGTCTTCTTCAACCCACTCTCCCCCGTCTTCCGGTACCAACCCATATTTATATGGTCGGTACTCCACTTATGTAAATTAGGTGTATCGTACACAACAGTCTGATATTCTTTCTTAATTACCAAGATGAAGAAACTAGACTGAACAAGTCAGTGTATAATAATTATGATTTCTCATCTCAAAAATTCACATCAAAACAAGGTTTGAAATATTAACGAATTTTCTTGAAATTATAGAAAATTATTAAGTGTATAATTTTCATTGTTTCTCTTATTTTCTTCTTCTAAATGGGACCCAGGAAAATTTTTATAAGCTTTTTAAATTAATAACTATTTCTTGTTATTTTTATTATGTAGCTAAATAAATTTTCTTTATCGTAATTAAACCATTTCTTCTTTTTTGATCTAAATGTGAAATACTTTTATAAAATGTTGGCTGGTGTTCACACTAAAGCAAAAACTAAAAAAAAAAAACAAGGAATAATTAAATATACATATGGCTGTGTTTAATTTTAGCTCAGAATTGTAAATTTGACAAAAGAAAGAAAATGTATAAGTTTGCTTTGAGCCAGTAAGTAGTTATTATTATTATTATTATTATTATTATTATTATTATTTTCTACTTCTTTATTTCATTTATTTCTTCTTTGGCACAATAGAAACCATCATCTAAATTGTCTGGATATTATTGACTTTGTAGTGGGAAGTTTTGTGGTTCATGAGAGCAATGCTGATACGTTTCCAATTGGTAGGACCTTCTTATTTACTGCCAAAAACTGCAATCAGTTTGTCAATGGGCCAGACATTTGAATGTTGATCAAAATACCTTGACTTGGTTTTACACAAAGTTAATCTGGTAGTCAGAGGAGGAATTTGGTAGAATCTTTGCTATTCACTAGGCCAACTGTTTCCATGAGGAAATAAATATTAAAATTTGAATTTTATTATAACATTTTTTAATTCTATAGAAAGATTTCTTCAAACATAATTGATTTCAAAAGTAAAACAATGTTTGAAATTCAGAATAACTTGCTTAAGCTATTATTAATTTTTAATTTGTACTTTTTATAATTTCAATTTGTTTTTCTCACAAATACTGAAGCCATTATTAATAGCCGTAGAATGACAATGATAAAGGGAATGCAAGTCAAAAATTCATAATAATTATCAATGCTTTATCTAATAATAATAATAATAAAATTCAAGATCATATTTTTACTTATAATACTAGTGCTGGTTCAGGGTTTCATGGGCCCTCATTGAATCAATGATATGGCACCCCCACTCTACTACATCTCAATTTTCATAAGGTAATATTCATATAATATATAAATGTGATTGTAACCTAATTATGTACAATAATGGATCATATGCAATATGAGTGAACAATTCACCTAGAAAAATTGAAAATAAATGCAATATATCTAAATACAAATTAGAGACATGTTATAATAGATCATTCCAATGTTTTGCAGCAATTTTTAACATCAACGTGAGATTTTTCTTGCTAAAAAGTTGAATAATTTTAATGCATTCAACATCATGGATAGAAAATAGTGAATTTATATAATTTTTTTTTAGACTTAGCATGCGCAAAACAAATTCTCAAATTTGGACAAAAAAAGAACCCAGAATTAAATAAAAATCTACAAAAATCTTTCATCATTTAATAATATTTTTTTATCAGCCCTGAAATGCATGTGTCTTGATACCTTAACTTTTAGGAGTAAAAAGGAAAGATTGATTTCCCACCTAATGATGTCTCATCAGGTCAAGTGACTGTTTTCTATTCTCATGAATATTTATAATTAATTAATTTATTTTTGTTTGGTCAAGTGGAGATAACTTTTTTTATCTCACTATGGAATCATCTAATAATAAAATTGAAGATACTTTCTTAAACTCAGTAAAGTTGAGACATTATTCTAATGGATTAAATTAAGAGTATTTAGTTAATTGGTGGTTGTGAATTCAATCCGTGGGTCAGGCATTGAATGTCACATACACTGGTTCAGTGGGAAAAGCAAAAATAAGAAATCATAAAACTAATTAACTAAGACGAGATATAGCCTGGCATGAGTAGCATAATGAAAATAGTTGATTACAATGGATTTACTAAAAGGTTTATTTAAAAATATCCAGGAGGTTACTAATTACAACAGACACCTGATAGAGAAAGAAAAAGAGAGAAAAAAACATGCAGTACAATGGTAGAAATATCGTGACTGTGGCTAAACAGTTATTTGTAGATAGCAGTAAAAATTTCCTTGCTAAAAGACAATACAGTGACTTACTGTTGTGTGTCAGTAACAATAGAAATTTTTGGCAAATTGATTTTAGACAAGCATACAATAAGAATGATTGAGCACTCATGGAGTGTCTTAATTGGTTGGTACAACACAGCATGACATGTTTATTACAACAGTTAATTTGAACAGTCTTTTTATAGTGCCATGATCAGGTGAGGACCTGTTATCTTTTAGAACATGTCAGGTTAGTGATGGAGTAAGTATGATGCGTAAAACCCAAAACTCGCAATGAAATCAGGGCATATCACTGATAACTCATCTTGGTACATCTTGGATATATTCTTTGATTGACTAGCTGGATCCACAGATATTCTACATTAACAGGTGAATTTATTTATTATCTCATGCCTTTGCCTTTCTCTCACTCAGGCTGATGGTCATATTACATTGAAACACCAGTTCTCATCTGATCAACAAAGTTAAGCAATGTTAAGCTTGATCAATAACTAGCTGGATGACCTCTTGGGAATACCAATTTTGGTATGTGGGTGGCGTTATGGATAATGGCTCAGAAAGAGAAATCAGAGAGTTGAGTTTGAATTTATTATATTCACTTATGTGCATGCAAATACCCTTGGGAACATCTGCCTCTTCTCTCCCTTTTAAATAGTAGAACTTGTACCAGAAGGTCATTATTATCTCCCCCACCCAATCTAAAAATATGTTCCAGTTTTAAATAATCTGCAAGAAGTCAATAAGCCATAAAGAAACAAATCAACAAATGAATCTTCTCTCACTCATTTGCTTTTATCTTCTCATTCTTCCCCATCCATGTTTTTATCTAAATGTTATACAAATATGGATTTGTTTCTTATGTGAAAAAGGAATAAGACACAGAAAAATATTTTACCCAGCATCCTCTTTCTTAACTTTCTTATACTCTCTACATAAAGAATTTTAATAAATTGAAATGTAGGGATACAAAAGGTGCTCATCTCCCTTTGTTTGAGATGAATTCATGTGATGGATGCTTAGTGATGTCACTTCATAGAGTGACAAAAGTGGTCAATCTGTCAGTGAGCTTCCAGAAGTCAAACCAAGTGTTTGCTTTTTTAATATGAGCAATGCCTTCCTTCGACCAGACTTCTACCCAGGCCAGCCAGCTGCGAAGTGGGGCAGTTTACAAGCCTATGCTACCGTTTTCCTTTGGGAATATATCTTAACTATCTCCAGTTTGCAGCCGTAATGTTGGGAAAAACCAATGACTCACCACTTCTTCTTTGAGAGGAATGTATCATTATATCATGGATATAATAATGCCTATGATGGGGGAAATGCAAACTGTGAGAATATTCTTTTCTTCTATAGCTCATCCATTATCTGGTGTCTTACCCAACTTGATGATATTATTAACCTGCATTAGAGTTTTTTACACCTTTCCATTCTTACATGCCTTGTAAAATAGACATTAAAGGATTAAAAGGCAGGTAAGAATGGAAAGACATAAAAATTTCCTTTATATAAGCTTGTCTTTCTTTTTCATGTGCATCCCTTCATTCTGTCTCTATATTTATTTTTTCTTTTACTTGGTTTTCTTCACCTCTCATTCTCATTCAATCACCGAAGTGGCATCAAGCCTGGTCAATACTTGGATGGGGGGAATTTGGGAACATCAGGTACTGTAAGCAACCTCCTACAATTCTAAATATGTTTAACCTTTAAATAACCCACAAAGGGTTGATAAACCATAAAAACAAATCAATGAATTCTTTATCTTCCCTTCACTTGCTTATCCTAATTTCTTGCTTAATAGTTCTTCATCAGAAAGCATAATTGATTCTAGTCCAAAGTATTGAAATCAGATAGATTCTACTCTGATCCCAGATAGAAATGCATAATTGTTGTACATACAAACATGTGATCATATTTTGCCAGTGAAGTTTGTGTGTGAGTGTTATAATGCATTTCATAGTGCTTATAATATAAATAACACTTTGGCAAAATGCCATCATGCCTGTATTATTTAGTTTGGAGACTGGCTCCAAATGGCTTCTTCTTCTTACCTCTATCCTGAAGCTCTTTATTTATAATCATGGACTAATTCATATAATCACCAGGGGCATACTATTTACTCC